TTCATGTTCAGCCAACCTACGCTCTGTCTACTGATTCTGTTCAGCGCCCGAATCACAGTCGGTAAATGCACGCTCGGTTTTTGTTTGCACTCATTACTTGATAAAGAGAAAATCTCCACAGCAGCGTCAAATGATATCTTTCGACATCGAAGTGCATCTGCTTGAGAGACAAGGAACCAACTGTCTGCGTACAAATAAGCAAGATCTCTATAAAACTGCTGTGCATGCAAAACTCAAGTTCGGGGATTGGGGGGGGGGGGGGGGGGGGGGGCAGATTAAAGTCCAGATGTGGATGAGCAACCATAAGGCTTTGTCGAAATTTTCAGCCGGTGAATGCGAAAAAGAAGAAATATTCGCTGGTTTCAGTGGCGAAGTGATAAAACCATTCCTGTCACGAACATGACGTTCAGGTTACAAGTTCGATTTTTACGGAGATCTTTGGGGATTGTTGCTGGAGATACGGAATAGCTTTGTGTGACGCTCACAGCAAGCGACCAGCTGTTTTGAGGAGAGAGACCGAGTCATATGGGATAAATCCGGATGCAATCCAGTCAATGGTCGGAGGAGAAAGAGAGAGCATTTGGCCAAAACAACTCCTGCGATGCCATGATGGTAAGAACATCGTTCACAACGAAATTGAATTCAGTATAGCACGTATCCTTGATTATATGACTTGAGTTCCTAAAAAAAAAAAATAAAAAAGATGTTAGACTGTCAGAACATCAACCAGCAAATTCATTGAAAAACGGAAGATCAGATAGTTTGGTCATTTACTAAAATTAAAGCTAGAGCAGCTATCAACGCAGGCGCTACTCTTGAAAATAAATGAAGAGAAAGCAAGAGGCTGCCCCGGATTGATGACATTAAAGAACTTCTATATCGACATGAAATGACAATTGTCCATCAAGCAATGGATCGCAAACTGTTCCTCCCCCAACGCTAAACGACAGAAGTGGAAATAGATGATGATGATGACGACGATGATTAATTAAAGGACCGTTTTTACGCGGTCTTTACGCAGATCTGCGACGCCCCATACCATGATAAAATCCACACAGCCAGCAGTGGGTTTCGATCGCAGTAGGTTGGAATTACCAGTTGGACTCGCAACGCCTAAGCCACGGACCCACAGCTTATTAGATAGATTTACTAAAACTCCATGTTTGCCACAGGTAGCATAGTGTTGACCAACAATGTAGTTCTTCTTAGATTTTTCCTTGGTAGACCAAGCTTTTTTGTCTATGTATCGGAAATAGTTTTCTTCGTTCCAATACTTTATTTAATTTTGTTAATCGCATGTTACTTTCTCGATCGATTCTTCCAAAATAATTAGAAACTGAACACGATAATTAAATTTCATTGTTTGTTTTATCTCGCTGTTATTTACTTTTATTGATCTGTTTTCTGGTTATCCACCTAATGTTGTCTTTGCATTTTTAGTGTTCGTTTTCATATTTCCCACATTGACCTAAATGTGGAGACTTCATTTTCTGCTATTATACTTGATATCGAAATGAGGCAAACGTCAGTTGTTCTTTGCAATTTGTACACATCAGCACTTATGTACGCTGGTAATTATTATCTAGCTTAATTTGTGGTAAGTGTTGAGAACAAACACGTTCAATAATGAATACAGTCTTCTTCTTAGCGTTCATCAGCTGAAAACTCTCGTGGAAAGTTCTGGTCGTTTGTCCGATTGTAGACTTTGGTCTTGTTTCAGAACTTTGGTCATTCATACTTACCCGTTATACAGACCAGGCTTATCTGTATTCAGACTGTTGGTTCCTCTATTCAGTCAACTTTTGCGTCATGCTTGTTAAAGGAGCAGTGAATTTATTACTCCCTCTCCCTCCCCCAAACGGGGCTTCGGAACCCACACGGGGAATGAATACAATGAAAGAAGTCAGAAAGTTACGTTAACTCTGGTATGTTTTCACATGAAAGCTACCCAGAATGTTGCTTTATCTTTCTGAGTTGCAATCTAGTGGTATTCCAGCAGAAGGCTCCAGGACAGAAAGGATTAAAGAGCAGCAGGTGGCATTATTTTCTCTGATGAGAATGCCCTGGAAACGATGCCAGAGAGTCATGCTGAAGATATAGGTGTATATATATATATCCTGGACAATTATTAAACAAGCTGAACAATATCTTGAGGCATCGGAAATATGGTTTTACAAAAGAATCCTTTAAATTTCTTTGACGGCTGAAAAGAGCATGCCAGAGGTTTTGAAAGAGGCGAGTGCTCGGAGACAACTTATCACAAACATCAGAAAAAGTCAGTCATCATTTTTTAGCCATGTTATGAGACAAGAAAAAATGGAACATGTGGTGACCACTGGAAAAATCTGCGGAAAGAAAGACAGAGGAAGACAACGCGAGAAGATTCTTGACGGCCTTTTGTCATGTCATGGAAGGGTGTCAACAAACGAACTGATACAAGCAGCTGCGGATCGTAGATTGTGGAAAGGCATGATCGCCAAGGCCATGCGGCAAGACACTGTATGATGATGATGATTTATATATATATATATATATATATATATATATATATATATATATATATATATATATATATATATATATATATATATATATAGGGGGAAACAAACCGAGCCAGGATGGAACGATTGCATCAATGACAGTCTTAAAGAAAAGAAGACCAATTTATGCAACGCATTAGAAGGAACATGCAGACGATTCTTACATCTCTTTTCATTCAACACTAGTAAAGGTTACTAGAGTGGAAAGAAGAAGAAGAAAAAGAAGAAAAAGAACAAGAAGAAGAAGAAGATTCGCTTAGATGGCTACTAAAGTAAAGTTAAAAAATCCCTTTCCACGCTTTCAGGCGTAATGGGCATATAGGGCTAGACCTGTATTTTATAAACTAATCGGCCGGCCGCCAAGGTCATTTCTGGAAAAAAAAGTCTGGACCCGAACCCAACCCCTTCCGATCCACAGGCGAGCGTCTAGCCTCTACACCAGGGCAACTCCCAGTTGGAAAAGATGACCGCTTATATCGCAAACATCAAAATTTATGCAATTGTTTATCAGGAGCTAATTACTTTAATTAATTACACAGGTGCCTTGCTCCTGTTACTTTCCTACAAGGACAGGCGTCTGACAGTTTTCGATCCGTCATGGCCGTCGGGACAACAGATGACACCCGCATTGAATATGTTTTCCCCGTCATATAGTGTGTTTGTAGTTGTTTACCGAATGTGTATGGATTTCGAACACCGGAGATATTGTTTAAATCAAGAGATCACATGCGGCAAAAACTGGCAATATCAGTGCTGCTTGGGTAAGTTCTTTATTATGTGATCTTTCGCGGCAGCTGTTGCTGTTGGTATTATAACGAGCACAGAATAATTTGAAAACGCTTAATGAAAAGGCAGAAATGCACTATGTATATCACTGTATGTATTGGTATGTATAGAATAATGACCGTTATATCATTATAAGAGGTGGAGTGTTGTTAACTCTTCCTCGCTTTTTTTGTTCTTAGAGCGTAATGGCTGTCAACTCTGGCGGGACGTTTTTGTTTTTCTGTAATTAAACCTAAATCCAGTACTTTAGTTTTGCCTCCACACCAGTATTACAAATCTGATTTATTTGTATGCAGACTGTTGGTCCTTGCTTCTCAGGCAGACGCACTCCAGCTTAGAAGACGCGGATGATGATAATGATGGCGCCCAAGCCACACTTTTTCCCTACCATCAAACCAACTTCCTGGGTTTCTTTATCTATCCCCTAAAACGACCCTGCGGGCGTGCGAGCGAGCGCGCGTGTATGTGTGTGTGTGTGTGGGGGCAGGGGGGGGGGTGGCGTACCCCGTTAAACGACACCGACTGACGAATTTTCCTAACCCGACTGCCCCAGGAGAATCACTACTGACCCCTACTGACCAATCAGAACCTTCGAATACTTATTTATAAAGTCAGATAGTCTGCCAATTATGTCTCTTCTCTTCGGCCCTCAACAGTATGACTAAACACCCACTCTTATGTCGTACATTCTCCTTTTTACTACAGCTCAAACCGTCTCTGAGCGGTCGGCCTTCGCTCCTATGACACAGATGATGATGCTGGTGCACGAGCCGCTCTTTCTCATATATCCAGGGTCATCAAGCCGCCTTCCTAGGTTTCTTTATCTTAACTCTAAAATAGCCCCTCTTCGCGGTCCGTCACTGCCGCCTATAAGTCTATTTTCATGTCCCCTAAATTGTTTCGTTTTGTAACATGTATCCCCCCCGCCAACAAACCACTCCTAATTTTGTCTATTTCAGAACCCATAATGATGCACCAAATTTATTAGTCATATGCCACCTGTCACCCGCCGCTTTAAAGATAATAATTCACCTGCAAAGTATCGATTTGTCAGATCGAGCAATAACACTAAAGAAATATAGATTTGCCTTCCTTAAAACACTTCACCTAAAAATACCCATTACACCCCATTTCCCACCATAAAAGAACTTTGCCTTCCTTAAAAACATTTCTGTCCCCTAGAAATACTGACAAACGACACCCCGGGAAAATTTTTTACGGAGATCCCTAGGGATCGACACCGGAGCTAAGGAGTTCATGCACAGTGCGACGCTCCCGGCAGGCGGCAAGCCGTTTTGCGGAGTGAGGCCGATCCATATAGGATAAAAACTAGTGCAATGAAGTCGATCCTCTCGGCTTTAACCTTTTTGTTTTCAACCTTCTAATAATATAAAGCATAGCTCCCTGTGTAGGTTACAGTGCCACACAAAAATAGACCCACTACTCCCTACCAAGCGTGTCGTAAAAGATGACAATTTTGGCTTGTTCGTTTATACTTCTATTACTATTACTGTATCTGCTGCTGCTATCACTACTACTTCGCTTACTGTTACTGCTTCAACTACGATTGCTGCCACTACTGCTGCTGCTGCCACCACTATAATCACAAATACTACCATTTTTGCTGCTGCTTTTACTTCTACAGTAATATTGTATTTTTTTTTTACTGATCAGATAGCCAAGTATCAAGGATGCTCTTTGAGTTCCTACTGCCCATGATTTGTTGGTCGGCTATGTTTATCCTGCTAGACTCATATTTACTTAGGTTTGTTGTGTTCATGGCTTATGTTACATTATTCTAGTTTTAATTTCTACACCAGACTCAAACACATTAACATACAACCACAGGGAGTGCGAACCCTCAAGCACATGTATATATTAGTAAATGTATTAGTAGTATTTATCGATTGTCTTTCTCTGCTTAACGCCGTTAGGTGTCGCAGGCACAGCTAATGATTGGTTTACTGGACAGAGTGCGCACGAAAGCTTGCAGCATGGTGATATTGTTGAGTTTCAGTAAGTTCCTAACTCCATCTATCCATGTTATTGGTATTCCTCTGCATCTAGATGTTTCCATTCTCATATTGTATGCTCTTGCAACCGGTGACTCTGGGCTTATTCTTACAATGTGGCCAAACCATCTCAGTCTTTTTCAGTAAATGTAATTACCGGTGTTATTCCCACTATTATAATGATATCTTCGTTTCGTTTATGGTCTCTTCTTGTTATGTTGACTGCTTTTCTCAAGCATCTCATTTCATACGTCGTTACTTTCCGCTCTTGTTCTTTTGGTAATACCAGGTTTGTCTCTGGTAACACAATGTTGGTAAAAAGATTGCGTTTATGATTCGTTGTTTTTTTTTTTTCTTCCATTGGGGAAAGTTGATAGATTGTTTGCCTCTTGGATTCTGGCCTTGATCTCTCTGTCCAGTCTACCGCCTTATGTAAAGAAGTTTCTACGATATTTGAATTCGCCCAACTGTTTTAGTCAGTGCTCATTAATTTGTATGCTGATATTTTGATGTTCCCTGTATGTGTTCATGGTTTCTGTTTTTCAGATGATGGTCTTTGTGTTGTTCTTGAGATAGCAAATATGGCGGGCATTAATCTGTTCCTGTAGGTGTTCAGTTTTACTGTAGAATATGAACTGATCGTCGGCAAGGAGCAACTCGCTTAAGTAGTCTGGCTGGTCACTGGCTGATGCGGTTTGTTCTATTTTGGTGATACAGACTATACAAATAATGAAGAGCAAGAGTGATAGAACACATCCTTCTCTCACTCCAGATGTCACTAAAAACGATGTATTAGTATATTATTGTTTTAATTACTCTATACTAATTTTCTCTCAAAATTAGGTCTAGCTAAAACTGCGGGAGGTACATTCACAAAGAAACAATATCACTCACATCAGGACAAGAGGATAAATTTTATTTTAGCATGACATTATGAGCCAAGAATGTGTGTGAAGAAATGCACATTTTTGTATGAATGCGTGCCTACGTGGGTGGGTGTATGAGTGTGCATGCGTAGGTACTTGAGTGGTTGTATGAATGCATGTCGCACATTGTCACTTTGGGAGACCTTTTGTTTGTCCTCCTTCTTTTAGGAGCTTGGGCCTCTCTCCATTAGGAGAGGCAATTAGTATTCCCCCCCCCCCCCCCCAGGTAACTGCGTAGTTATATGGGACACCTGTGTGCATTGTTGCGCACGTAAACAAAATACCTTGACAGTTGGAAATCGAAAAAAGTAGCCTAAAGGCGTAAATTTGGAGTTTAAAATCTACCCAAAGTATTTCAGGATCCTCGCCGGTGCAACAGTGATCGTGCACTGCGCTGACATACCCACTCAGACTTGCCAGCAAATAGTTGGTCTCAGTTGATATACTTGTAACTGTTGGTTTGAAAAGGCAGGTCACTATTAAGACTTCTCAAATGGTTGTACAGACACGCTGGTCCATGTTTATAATCTACATCTCGCAATTCAACAATTAATTTTCCCACATTCGCAAACAATAGGAATATTGCATCAAAAACATATTTTTTAGAGGATGTTGCAGGCACAAATTGCATTAGAAGGCGTGCACCATGTTTGTTAGCACTCATTTGTCCAATGTTAATAATTCACTTTGCTGTTTCATAACCAGTTTTCCTGAATGCATTGAGTGACGTTCAACCCCCAACAGGGCCGCACAACGAGCCGTAAAACACCTGGTGACACAAAGTGTCATCGTTCGGGTGAGAATCCACCGGGTACAAGTCTAAGAAACCTCATGCAACCATTAGGTTATATTAGGGTCCCCGACTACAGCCGGGCAGGGCTTTAAAAAAAAAACTGCGTCTCATATTGGGAGGAGGTTTTTTATTACCTAAATGGATTCCGGGAACTATTTTATAGGTCTATAAAATTTAGGTCAAGCCCTATATGCCTGTATAAAAGAAAAGTGATCTACATCTGCTACAAGGCACATATATGAGTGTATTTATAATTAGACGCATATTTACAATTTAGATGGAATATTAGCAATAGTTAGAAGCAGACAGGGAAAAAAAGGATGTCCTTACTACACCATTTTGAGTCATGATGGCTTGTAAATTTAGATAATTTAAATAGCAGGTTTAAGTTTTTTTTTCAGGCGATTCGTCTGTGCCTTAAAAAGGCATTCGTTGGACAGTGTTTTAAAACGAGTTATCAATGTACGAACGGAATACAAACATCGTAGTGGAAAATCGGTCAAAGGTCAGTTGCTTCAGAAACAGTATCCATTGTTTTAACGTGAAAATGACCATTTTCAGCGCCTGAGAGATTTCTTACAATGTCATATTTTCTATCAAGATGATAGGTGCTTTGCTTTAAAAAACAAATCGTCGCGTTCTATCAGCATACCCGAAGAAGGAGCTTTAGGTTATAAATGTGACTAGGTTATGAGCGCCATATAAAATGGCCTAGCATTGCACGCCATTAAAAGCCCTGAAAAGGACTCGTGAAGTGACGATGCGATAAAAAGGGTCAGACACAAATGCTGTCCTAATCGGCGACGAAGTCGTCCACCTGCGAGCCAGTGGGTGACCCGGCCGCCGGTGATTTTCCATCTAGCAGCAGAGCCTGTGTTTAAATGTTCTGTATTTAAGTGGTCTCCACCCTTTTTTTCAGGTCGGGCTCCTCTTGAGTATATAAGACCTCCAACATATAGCCTCTTTGAGCATATTGCAAGACATCCACGTCCCACGTATATTGCAAGACCCCCCCCCCTCCTTACGTCCCACTTAAGTGTACTGCAAGACCCACCACCTCCTACTTGAGTGTATTGCAAGACACCCACGTCCCACTTGAGTGTATTGCAAAAACCTCCCCCCTCCCCACCTCCTACTTACGTCCCGCTTAAGTGTATTGCAAAACCCACCACCTCCCACTTGAGTGTATTGCAAGACACCCACGTCCCACTTGAGTGTATTAAAAGACCCCCCCCCCCCCCCCCACCCCCACTTGAGTGTATTGCAAGACCCCTACGTCTCACTTGAGTGTATTTCAAGACCCTTACGTCCCACTTGAGTGTATTGCAAGACTCACCCTTGCCTCCCCTTTCCCAACATAGCGAAATATGATTAAAAAAAGGAGGATAACAGATTCTCCAACAAGAGAAACTAGAAGTATGAAAATACGTTTTGGTTAGAATATGTTCTTGTCCTGCAATTAAATACGTATGTTATCATACTGATTAGATTTTGATTTCTCATCACGACAAATAATCTTCACACTGTCGCAAACAATAGGAATAATGCATCAAAAACACCTTTATGTAGGATGTTGCAGGGACAAACTGCACCGTAAGGCGGGCACCATGTTTGTTGGTACTCATTTGTCAAATGATAATCATTCATTTTGCTGTTTCATAACCACGGTTATGATACGGTGGATGTACACATTTCTCACAAAGACAATAATTTTTTTCTTGTCGTTTTGTTTAATAAATTTTTTGAAAAAATTTTTTTTTTAATAATAAAACTTAACCAAAATGAAAGTATAACAGATTATTACAAGTTCATACGAATTCTCTTTTAAAATTGTTTGAGGCCCTTTAAATCGTGTTGCCCCCCCCCCACCCCCTTTTTTCCTGAGGGTGGGGGGGGGGCACGCTCCCTAGGTTGGAAACCACTAGTCTAGCGGTTAACACAATCAGACCTAACTGTTAACACAATCAGACCTAACTGTTAACACAATCAGAACTAACTGTTAACACAATCAGACCTAACTGTTAACACAATCATACCTAACTGTTAACACAATCAGACCTTATTGTTAACACGATTAGACCTAACTGTTAACACAGTCAGACCTAACTGTTAACACAGTCAGACCTAACTGTTGACACAATTAAACCTAACAATTGGCCAACTGTTTAAATCAGCAGGACTGGCTGGCTTGCCATACCAACTCCAGTAGCAAGAAAAGAAATTTGTGCAGCAATGGAGATGAAATTCTAAGCAGACAGTGGCATTTTTGTGAGAAGGGGGAGGAGTATAGGGAGAGCATTCGGAAAAGCTCCAATACCTGATATTCTCTTCACAAAAAGCTTAACAACAATTAAAAGTTCTGGAATATACTCAACAGTGAGAGAGAAATAAAGGAGAACTTTTAGTTAGGTTGCACTTGGAGCTACTGGCCTGTGGACTCTGCCTTGGCTTTGTAACGCCAGGGTGCCGGGTTCGATCCCAGCTGAGGACGATTTGTCTTGCGTTGGTTTCAACAGTATTGCCGAGAGCTGACCGTCCTGTAAGCAATGGAAAACTAATGAACGTAAAATGTGCCTAGAAAAACCACAACAGTTAACAGATGCTGGGGTTGCTTCTGCAACGTCCTGTAAAAGATAGGCAACTTTTTTTTCCTTCACTGCAAACTTCCCAACGCCATCTTGGCATTGGCAATGCGTTAATATAAAGTACGGTGACAACTCCTGGCAAATTTAAAGCCATACTAAATTTTTTAATAATTTAAACACGTAGACTCATTTATTAGCATATTAGCACCAATATTATTAATCAATTACTTTCACGATGAAATTTAGTAAGCAAAGTTGAAAAAATCTTTTACAAGTAATTGTCGTAGGGTGTGATGAGCTGAGAAATCACAAACAAATTTCACTTACAATGACTATGTATGACCAACTCCCTTACGTGACTTTCTTCTTCTCAGAAAAACTTGAAGAAAATACTAATATCCATGAGAAAGAAAATCTGGCCCAGCCGGGTAGACCGCAGGAGCGCACTGAGAAGAAAAAAGGTACAGCAGAAGTCATACATTTTACTTAAAAAAGGGAGGGTGGGGGAGGGGTAAAATCCTGTTGATGCAAGAAGGAAAATAGTCCAAATCTGAGTCCAGTATGAGGAAGAAAGTAAGCTCCTGTCTCTAAAGGACGGAAAATGATTAGAATCCTACCATTAATAGAAGGTCAAAGGTTAAAGTCGAGGGTCGACTGTTTTTGAAATCCTATATGGTTCAGTATCTTTCTCTCCTCTGCCGACAGCATTGCATAAAACATGAACGCCGGAGCTCCAGAGACCTTCCTAGGGGTCTTAGTAGAGATTGCACTTGTGAACCGAACGACACAGCCGCGAAACGAACCCAGTACCCTCAGAGCGTGAGGTGAACGGCATGACACTTTACCACGGAGACCACTACTAGTATAAGGTAAAGGGTTGAATGCAACCAAAACAAAAAAGAGGAATGTGTAATCTCACCAATGTGAGCAAGTAAAATGTAAAACTTTGCTACTGCTTGGTAGAAAGGTGTAAAATTCTGCCTCCCTACAGAAGAAAATGTAATCTCGCCATTACTATGATGAATGACTTTGCCTCCCAGGTCGACCAAGCCTTGGATGGGTATCAGGTGGAGTCACTGAAAGTAAAGGCGGTCCATGTGATACTCACCACATCACCCACCTAGTGCGATCCACATCAGTATAAGGGAAAATTCAGAAATTTACAGCTTTAAGTGGGGAACATTAAAACGCCAGTCTGAATGCATAAAAAGTTAGATGTTCCAGGGGCCATTTGGGAGCGGGTGGACAGTGCAGGGGCACATATAGCTCTTTACGGTCTGAGGAGAATGGTGCTGCAAGGCGAGGCAGATATATAATCTGGGTGTTCGTGGTACCATCGACATTAAGTTCTGAGCTTGTTACTGAAAATGGAGCCTCTTATTGAAATGTCACGAGTGCTGTGGTGTTGTATACTTGTTTGAAGGGCCCCATCGTGTCGCAGCGGCCAGGTGCTCCCCTACCGACCAGAAGATCTTGGATTCGAATCTCTGGGAGTCGCATTCTATTTTCATTTTATATTTATAGGCGAGAGTATACCTTGGAGTCGCAACGGACAGGGAACACATTCGGCATGGAGCCTTGGGGATAACGGGGAACAACGGCTGAAAAGAGATGGCTCTTGGATGGCACAGGCAGAAGTCAGAACTAGAACTGTTTGTGCTACTGACAAGATAGCGCATAGTGAAGAATGGGTTACAGTGCCGCCAAACAAAACAGACTTGCATAGAGTGACAGTTGCCATGGAACGAGGGTGCCAGGAATGGATAGCTGGTGAAACAAAGTCAGCGGTGCTAGAGCTGGCCAATAAAACTTCATGCCCAGGTGACATCCTACAATTTCCAGATGAGTCTGTCGTGATAGGTAAGAAAACTGGGTGGGGTTTTATTGCGAAGGTGAATGGACACTGCTTGAAAACAGAAAGCCTCGCGAGCAAATTCACTAAATCCAGCATGAGAATGGAGGTAGAGGCAATAAAGGCAGCTTTCCGATGGCATGAGAGTAGCACAGCCCGGCATGTTGTAACTATAACAGACTAAAAGAGCATACTTCGAAAAATTGAAACTGGTGTCATGTGCGCTGAGTGGCTTACATCACTTGATAAAACCCAGATCAAGAGCATGTGGATTTTCTGACCTGGATATTAGGTGTGCGAGGTAACGAGATCAAATGGACAATACAAAAGAACACACAGGGAATTCTTATAATGAAAGACTGTTTCAACAGTGGATTTGTAGAGGTTCTGAAAGATGTTCAACATTGAAGGGGAAACAAAAGCAGACTTTTAATCAGGCTGCAGCTGACACTGTTAGCATGTCAACTCTTCGTTAGCTACTGAAGAAGAGGACGGAGCACGTATGGAAATGTCCCAATTGCAGTGATGACCGTTCTTGAATAATTAATTCATTCCTTTTCAGAAACGATCTTGGCTCCCTGATCAGTCCAGCCTAAACTGGGAACAGGGTAAAGTCCTTGAAAGTAAAAGAGAGGGCCGACTGGTCTACAAAATATATGGGTCAAGCATTATATGCCCGAAAAAACACTGGGTCTTTTAATTTCACTTTTCCTTGTTGTTTGCTGATTTGTCACCCTTATTTCGTTACGTCCATTGGCTTTTAAGTTCTAGAGGGAAATCTAAATACTATATTGTAAATCATTTATTAAAATAAAAAAATGTGTTTGATTTTTGTTGTTGTTGTGGTTTTTTTTTTCTTTGAGCCAGATTTGACCGGCAAATTTCTTTCTCAAAGCGTGTCTTGTCCTTTTTAAGGTCGTTTTTAATTTACTCACAACTGCTGGTGGCAGTAACAGAATGCTTACAGAAATGAGAAAACAAATTTAAAATGCATATATCTTTTGAACTAGAATGCTACAGAAACATTCTTATATACCGGGCCAAATAAGAAGAAAACCACAGACATGCTGAATGGCCTTGACAAGAAGAATTGGCTCATAAACAGCATCCTGTCCCGAAAACTGATTTTGTTAGGCCATAGTTTCCCGGAGAGAACGGTGAGGAGGGTGCCGTTCAAGGAAAACGATGCAGAGGCCGGCCTCGGTGGATGCAGGACATTGAAGATGCGATGGCTGTGAAAGCACACAGGGCTGAAGAATTTGCCAGAGAAAGCAAGACTTTAGGCGTGCCGTGATGAGAGTGATGTTCTGTTAAGGAACGGCTGATTGATGATGATGATCTAGGTGTGCAACAGAATGGAAATCGTGACTTTTTATTCATTATCTAAAATTCAGGATGCGAACAGGTAATTGTTTAACTCAACGATAAATGCCCCCCACCCCCACCCCCCCCCCTTTTCCTCCCTATTTTCCGGAGTTAATTTTGCTATTGTTAAAATAGAAATGTATAAAAGTATATTTTGAGATCGGCACATGTGTTTCTTTTTCAGACTGCGTAGTCCTAAAGAACATCGTCAAACGTTATGGCAAGAAAATCGTTATAAATAACATCTCAGTGGCTGTTTCTCAGGGGGAATGTTTCTGTTTTCTGGGCAGGGAAAAATCTGGCAAATCCACGATACTCAATATTCTGACGGGACACACATGTCCAACAAGTGGGGAGATTCTCATTGGTACTCAAACAATTATGGCGGCCGTCAGTGTAAGGAAAATAGCATGAGTAGTAGAGGCGAGCTATAACCGTATTATTTTTCGCTATCAATTCTTAGTCGGGCGGTGGGTTAAGAATATATAACGGGCGGTGGACTAAGAATATATAACGAGTTGTGGACTAAGAATATATAACGAGCGGTGGACTAAGAATATATAACGAGCGGTGGACTAAGAATATATAACGGGCGGTGGACTAAGAATATAAAGTACAAGATAATACGCGTAGAGCTCGTCTCTACTACTAGAATGTGTCAATGAACCCATGTGTCATAATGAACCCTCATACACATCAAAGGGCTTGATCCCGGCTGCCCATTACGCCCCTTTCCCATCGACCCTTTATACCTAATGTATTTATAAATATTTGATGTTTTGAGAGCTGTTGAACTGTGGGGGGGGGGGGGGCTGTAGCAAGTGTTTCTTTACCTTGTAATAACTGCAATGTATATTTGTTGTATACGATACAAGGTCATGATTTACCGCAGAAAGATGTTTCTATATGTCGAAAAAAGTGTGTTTATATGAATACCACACTGCCTTGTTCTTTTTTACATAGTTAAAATTTTGAGAAATACAGATAATAAGAGCAAAACGCCCCACGAAATACAAACCTCTGGCTATATTCCTTGAACCCTATATTCCTGGGTATTGTAAAAACCATACTTGCCTCTCCGGGAACGAATTTTCCTAATGCTACTGGTCAATCATAATTATCACTGGCCCCTACAGACCAGAACCTTCGAATACTTATTTATAAAGCCAGATAGGGTGCCCATTACACCCCTTTCCATCGGCCCTTAATACCCATCATAGGAGACCCTCGCCTTTTGCGGTGCTGACAAAACGGGGAAAAATCACTAAGGCATTTTATATTGCCTGTGGAAAATGAGTCATCCACCACTTTGCCAAAAATCTGGCCATGCATTAAAGAAAAATCGGGTTGTCTTCCTTAAATTATCCTCTAAGAAAACGCCGGCACCCCGGGAGACAAGGGAGACACCATATGGATTTCATATATCTTCACCCGCCCGGAAAAACCAATCACTCGTGACGTCATCACCCGCCCGATCGATATTTACTAAGGGTAAAGAGGGCGGGTGCTAACCCGCTGGAAAAAAACCAATCACTTGTGACGTCAAATGGCCGCCATCTTTTACTACGGATAAAGAGAGCGGATGAGCAAAAAATCGATAGCGATGCGCGCTCAAAGACCCCCCCCCCCCCCCCCCCCCCCTCCCGACCCACTACTACTCTCAGTAGGAGAGGAACATTTTACCACGTGACAATCTGGTTAACACGAATTCGAAGCGACCGAAAAGTTTGTTCGCATTTAAAAAAAGAAAAATTCGTGCTAGAAAGGAATAAGTAAGAGAGACCCATGCTGGTACAAACATTGTTTCCATGTTAACCGAATGTTCTTCTTAAGTGAGTTCATGTTAACAAGGTTTTACTGTATATTCTGTGATTTCCCCATGCTTTCCAGCATGTGGCATCACTCGTTCATCTAGACTAGGCACCAGTAAGCTGTACCGTTCAGCCATTTAACACTTATATTCTTCTTGTTTTCTCTACTTCTGGAATACATCGCAGCGTCAGGTCAAGAAGAGATCTATGGAACGGGTCCTTCTGTTCGCTTCGTATATAGCATTTTTAATTGTTTCTGATATTTCTACGGTCCATATTGTGCGTGGTAGACCTCTGGGTCTATTACTGTTGTATCTGTATAACACTGCTCTCTGTGGTGCTCTGTCTGACGCCAACTTTGTTACATGGCATTTAACACTTATAACTTCTACATTGACTGTGTTGCAGGCACATATTAGAATAGGCTACTGTCCGCAGACGATTGCCCTCTTGGATGGGTTAACAGGCAGAGACACCTTACTGTTGTTTGGGCGGCTGAGAGGAATACCTAACACGTTTTTAAATGCTGTCACCCAGAATCTTATCGACGAGTTCAGAATACTAAACCCGGACAGGACATGTACAGGATACAGGTATATATAATAAAACCACTCTCTCTTTATCTCTATACACACACACACACACATGCACGCGCACGCACGCACGCACACACTCGCGCACACACGCACGCGTGCGTGCACACACACACACACACACAAATAATAATAATCTACAAAACCTGAGGCCACCCAAAGGTGGGAGTCAACATAAACTGGTGACCCGACACGTAGTGTTACGGGACGATGATGCAACTTTCGTATGTATATATATATATATAATCCTTATAGGACACTGCAAAACCAACCCCAGTATTTTTGACTGTTTGATTTTACTAGGCAATTTTACGCTCAGTAGTTTGCCATTGTTTGCGCAACCATCTGCTTTCGATACCGCCATCTAAATCAATGCAAAGCGGTCTGATATAAAATAGCCAGCAGCTGAAATCAAACGGGGTATCTCGGAAATACAAAACCCAAGCCACAGACGCCAACTCTAGCTTATCACTATCATTATCAAGTGTCTTGCCGACTGGCACAGGCGATAATGACTCTCCACAGTCTGCGATCTTAAACAGCATGTACTGGTTCCTGTGATGATACCCCGCCATGCCACGACAAATGGATGTCAAGAAACATCTCACGTTGTTTTCCTCTGTCTCTTTCTCCGCAGATCTTTTCAGTGGTCACAACATGTTCCAGTATCTTTCTTCTCATAACATGACCAAGAAAATGAAGACTATCTCTTTCTGATGTTTGTGATAGGTCAGTTGTTTTCCCGCCCTCATCCCTTTAAAAACAGTTGGATTGCTCTTTTTGGCTGTCCAATGAATTCTCAGGCTTCTGCTGCAGCCTAAAAGGTAGCTTTATATGAGAGGTGTTATATTTAATTGGCAAGGATTAAAGTTCATAATCAGTTAATACACTGGGCAACTATTGATCGCATATCTGTTCAGCGTAGCTATTTGCTTTCTTTTTTTTTTAATACGTGGTTTTTACGCAGCCGATACATGTGTCAAAACTCAAAACTTAAAATATGGTCCCAGTCAATCAATTAACCAAGCCCACAATGATGCTTTAAAAATCGTGCTGGTACCACGTACCATTATGTACCGCCAGAGGAAAAAGCACTGGTACCAGTTAAACTAAACTGCAGTACATGGACACGTAGTTTGTTAGTTAGTTAGTTAGTTAGTTAGTTAGTCAGTCAGTCAGTCAGTCAGTCAGTCAGTCAGTCAGTCAGTCAGTCAGTCAGTCAGTCAGTCAGTCAGTCAGTCAGTCAGTTAGTTAGTTAGTTAGTTAGTTAGTTAGTTAGTTAGTTAGTTAGTTAGTTAGTTAGTTAGTTAGTTAGTTAGTTAGTTAGTTAGTTAGTTAGTTAGTTAGTTAGTTAGTTAGTTAGTTAGTTAGTTAGTTAGTTAGTTAGTTAGTTAGTTAGTTAGTTAGTTAGTTAGTTAGTTAGTCTTACCTCTTGAACCTAGGACGGCGCATAAGGCAGAGGTGATAGCTCTCCATGTCTGGCAATCTGTTGCCATCTGTTTTAGGTCTTGGATGTTCATTAGGCCAATGGTTGAGCCTTCCCTGATGTTGGTTTTACGCAAGATCCCTTTTGGTCTTCCTCGTTTACTTTTCTCTTCTGTGCCCATAAGAGGGCTTTTCTTATTCATTCTGAGTGCATGGCCGATGTGGCGCTTTCTTATAAAATTAAATACATTTTCTTGCTCGGTCTCTTGTCTTATTTTCGTACTGGATATGAAATCTGTTGAAAGAAGATTTCGGATTCTTATAAGACATGCAGTAGAATGTTTAAATAATTATGATTCCACCGTAAATAATATGACATTACTAAATCGTTACCTTTTGAAATTGTTCATCCTGATTTCATTTCCTCAGCTTCAGCAATAGGAAAAAACTCAGCATCGCCGCCTCCCTCATCGGGGCTCCTCATATTGTAGTTTTAGATGAGCCAACTTTTGACCTGGATTACCTAGATAAGAAAATAGTTTGGCAGTTTTTATCTGATGTTCAAAACGATCACCGAACTGTTGTTGTGGCTACTTCAAGGTACGTTGTGCGTTGAACTTTTATGGTTTTAACTTGTTCTTCTCTCCTTCCCCTGCTTTCCGTTTTTAATCTCCCAGTGCCCCCACCCCCACCACATAACGCTAAGGACCTTTGGCCTTTGTAGTTTGCTATAGCTTTCTCTATTTCTTTCCGTACTTCTTCAGCTTGCCTCGGATTCCCCACTGTATTTTTTAAGGTCCTCCTTTAAATTTTTTGCCCTTGGAGCTTCATCATCCTCATGTAGCAGGTCCTTTGCAGAACGTCGCTATCATCACAGTCTGCCTGAAAGAAACTCGGTCTCTCGACAGTTCTCCCGCCTCATGAACTTTAACACTCAATGAGTCACTTATATCCTGTGCCCATCTTCGTGTCGGTCGGCCCCTGCCCATCCTTCCTGGTACCATGCCTCTGCTATAATTTTTTTCAATCCGTCGTGGCGCTTGATATGACCAAAATATTTCAGCTTTCGAGAAAGGATACTGTTTATTAGCCAATCTTCCCTGATGTTCAGATCTTCTTTGTCCAAGATATTCTGAGAATCTTTCTATAGCATTTCAACTCAAAAGCCCATATTCTCTTTCTTAAGGACTGAGAGATAGTCTACTACTCACATCCGTATGTAGCCACAGGGAAGATGCATGATCTCAAAATTCTAATTTTTATCTCCTTGCTGGTGCTTAACCATAGACTTTTAAAGCTCCTTGGAGCTTAGAAGAAAAAATTTACTAGATTTATATTGCTAATGTTTTCTTGTCGTAACATTTCATACTTTTAATTGCGTCCTTGAAGCTTCTCAGATTTGTTTTTAGAAAAAACAAAAATTGACACGTGGAACATCTTACCAAATGGCGTTTTACCCTCTCGCCCGTTATATCAACCGAATGATATCAATTTATTTGGAGCACAAAATACGGCCTTTGAGATCTGGTTCTTTTATTTTATTTCAGTTCATCTTGGGAGCTCCGAGATTTCATAGGGAAAGTTCAATAGTATAGGAGTGTTAGGATGTGAAATGAACACCGACCAACACTAACCCTACCACTCCCTCCCCCTAAACCATAATACTGGACTTTCATATAAATTATGTACGAAATCTCGACCCCCCCCCCCCACCCCTCCCCCAGATGGGGTGAAATAAAAGAAAAAAACCTGAGATCTTATAAAAAGATAGCCGGAAAGATAAAAGTCGCAACGGCGCGCCCGCAAAATACCTGAGGTGGAACATATAAAATATAGAAAAAGTCATGGAAATGATTCAAGTAAGCCTAGAAGAAATGGCAGACATTCAGTCCTTTTATGGTGGGACAGGATGATGGTAATTAGCTTAGTTTGACAGAAGAGCACATGTCCAACATGAAAAAAAGCAGTGATAGGGCTAGAGTTCTCCTCGTCTTCTACTCCCTACCCCCTCCCCCCCCCCACCCCCTTCTTCTTCTTCTTCTTCTTCTTCTTACCGGTATGCTGTCTTCCAATGAAGAATTCAATATATCAAAATTAGGCAATTATAAATAATAAGAAATCTATTCCTGGCTATTTTCAGACATATATGTGAAATGCTCTTATATCTTGGGCTATCTGACGTCTTTTTTTATTACTATTTATTTTTTTAAAGTGCCGATGAATGTGAAATTGTCTGTGGCAAGAGTTCTAATATGACAATACTGAACGACGGAAAACTGGCATGTCTCTCTTCCCCATCGGTGCTCATGAAAAATTACGGATCAGGATATACAGTTACTGTTCGATTCAGAACTGACGATGACGGAAAATTAATATCCCAGATGCCTTTTTTAAATTCTGCTGTCGAAGTATTTACGGATATCGAGGTAGGTATCCATTTATTTAGGCAAATAAATTACTTGTACGGATGTAGAAAAGAAAGAACTCGTTTAATCTGAAAAGTTTCTGAGGATCAGGTTGTATTTACAATTCAAAGCTGGTGTGAAAAAGAATGAAGATAAAGCCAGGCCAGGACGTCCGATTTCTGTTCATAACGACGAATTCATTGTCAGAGAACGGAGATGAGAAGACTGATATCTGACTGTGATGAGGATGGAAGATGAATTTGATGTTAACTGTGATATATCTTGATCCTAAAAAAACGTATCTCATCAATTCAGATATCCCAGTAGCACATTTTTCCAGTTTGAAACATAATGTAATGTTCACCACTGGTCTTATGCTGCATACTTAGTGATGCAACTTTTACCTGCTGAACAAAATATCGTCTGCTGACCGGGCGGCTTTGCAATGTTGCCAGATCATATATAGATGATGCCTGTTTGGATGACATGCTTTACTCCATGTTTTTTGTGCGGCCAAAAAAATAGTCTCATTATTTACTTGTACTGTGTTAAACTGTAGCGTGGCCTTCGTTTTTTTTTATAGCGACTGCTCTATGTGCAGTCGACAGAAGACAATAGAACCTGATTCTTCCTCTGTTTTTTTTTTACTAGTCAGAAAATGACTGACATAGTAAGATTAGCCTCGTTATTCAATTGTCTTACTGTGTTCATATAGTAGCGGCCTTACAAATAATAACGTTTTTCTAACAGTTAAGTGAATGGACCTTTTTTTTTTTAAATAGATTATCTCAGACAAGGACGTGTGCCGCCTTCATTTATTAAATAACAAGCTCAATCTTGGGAAACTGTTTGCCTTGTTGGAAGATGGTATCAGCTATTATAATGTCGCCGATTATTCTGTACAGAAGACTTCCCTTGCGCACATCTTGTATTCAATGTCAATATGCCCTGAAGAAGAGTACATTGAAATACCCCCAGGAATTTCATCTTCATTCGACGTATGGCCACCGCAAGCTTCTAATCAACGGTTTGAATCATCTGTGAATTAGCTGAATTTTTATGGGAATATGCGAATCAGATTTTAGTTTAACGTATTTTTTTGGAAATAATCATTGCATCGTTTTTATTGTTGGGTGCAAATAAAAAGAATAGAATCTCAGAAAGTTGAAATTCTCTTATTTTTTTTATTTTTTATTGATGCACAGTGCGATTTCTTGTTAGGGGGAACATATACATTAGGTTTGATGGATATTCATGAACACTATGTCTAGCTGATAAAGAAGTAAATGGTCTCTACAGAAATGAAATATTTGGTTTGGAATTATATAGCATACAAAGTACAACTCATGTATGTCACCACATCTCGTTCGGTTGCGTGATTTCCTAGCGGTTCCCACGGGCTGCCCTTGGTTGTAATGGTGTTATGAGATGTCTTTCTTCAGTGTTTATACACAGTGTGCCGAAAAGTGATTCGGATTCATTCGACGAGGTCAAGACACTGTCTTCCAGACGAAACTGTGCAGCTTTATTTTCACAATTCTGTTTTCTGTGAACGAATGTTGTTTTTGGAATGTGTTGTTGTGATTAGGTGACTGTGTTCAATTAAGAAGTACTGCAGGGGGAAGCGTCGAAGGTGCGACGATTCGTGAGTATCGAATCATTGTTAGTTTTGTAATTTTATGCTCGTTGGTGGTGGCTGTTGTTGGTGGTGGCTGTTGTTGGTGGTGGCTGTTGCTGGTGGTGGCTGTGCTTGAGACATTCAAAACAAGCAACATATGACACCTCTAGAACATGAGATGGCCCGCTACTTAATCACATAGCCAAACAAAGTGGGAAGACAAAAGTGAGTCGTACCGCATCTAGCTCTTCGGATCTTTTTTCCCAAAAAAGATTGCAAAGAAGATTCTTTGGTGCTTTTCATTTTCTTCACCCCATCTGGGGTACTAGGAGATTTCGTGGGGCGGGGCGTTCCTGGGAAAGTTCAGGGTTATAGAGGGGTGGTGAAGAGTTATAGTGTTAAAGTTATGTTAGTCCGTGTTCATTTCACACCCGAACATCCCCATACTATTGGGCTTTCGCGGGGACTACCCCATGAAATCTCGAAGAGAAGATGAACAAAGAGAAAAGGACCAGTTCTTCATTTTGTGGAATACTCTCTTTGACTGAGTAATTCTGTATTTAACGTCCTTAACTATATCATCTAGCTGCTGTTATCAGGACACCCAGATATTTAAACGGATCGACTATCGCTCACAAAGTACTTTAAAATTTCTCTTAAAATGGAGGCGACAAAACTGGTCCCCGTAGCCTGCAGACAGCAAGATCTTGGTACTCTCCAGAGTGGGTTTCCGTGGCGAAATTGTCAAGCCACCTTCTCTATGTTTGTTGCCCGATCTACGGAGGTCGTGCTCTGTGCGACGCTCTCGGCAGGCAACTAACTAGCCTGTCTGTGGAGAGAGACTGAGCCATATGGAATCAGACCAGGTGCAATGAAGTCGATCCTCTCACCTTTACCAGTGACCTTCACTGGTCATCTCCAGGACTCGGCGACACAGTTATAACCCGATCTTAGGGAACATATGTGCCACAGGCAGCCTTGGTTTCATCACGTTCAATAAGTTTAAGTCTTTCGGTATCAAGCTGAACGTTCTCTGACCGCTTCATACATTGTATTCATTTCTTATTTCTGAGTTATGAGTTCAAAGCCTGGCATAAGATATCACAACGTCTAGTTTGAGAACGAAGGGGAGGCAGTCACTGATACCTTCTGCTGCCTCGAAAATCAGCTGTACACACAAGCAGTAATTGTAACTAACTTACAGAGTGTGTTGAGAAAGATGGAGACAAGCATTCTCCGTGTAGACTGGTAAGCATCAATTTAGAGGTCCTGGGTAGTTAGCGTCCTTTGGATATGTTTTCCATGTAATGCTGGAGTATCGGTAAACGAGCATGCAGATAGACTGACCGGTTCTGCGCCATTTGGTGGTGAATTAATATACGACAAGCTAGATAATGTGAGGGCCCTTTGGGGGCACGTGAACAGTGCGCGGGCACAAATAGATCATTGCTGTCTGAGGAGAATGGCGCTGCCAGAAGTTGCCAAGGGATCTGACCAACGCTCACCATTCAAGAGAAAGGCGAGACGGATATGCAATCAGTCAGCTACTTCTACCGCTGGAATTGGAACTCTTCGCTTGCTGCCGAAAATGGGGACGGAGAGATTATGGGAGTTTCCTGAGTGCTATGATGTCGATTCCTAATTCAACCTTTAACTGTGGTGACTGCACACATACCTTGATTTTAAAAAAAAATGTTTTTAATGATTAGCACATAAATCCACCTTGAGGTCTTGTGCTCTGCTTTTTTTTTTTGGAAGGACTTTGCACAACTGTCTTCTTCGTGTATGTTGATGTCTCACTCATGTTCGTCCTTAGTTTGCTACCGAAGGAGTCCAGTCAAGAATATGGACGAGGAGAAAGATGGTCATGTCGATAGTGGTGATGATGATGATGTCTTACTTGCTGCATGCTTCTCGCGTTACTGATACTTAAATAATTAAATGTCCGGAAACAACTGTTCTTTTCTATACTGTCTGTATTGTGATACCTCAGTTATGTCACGAACAACATCAATGATATTCTGAATAGCGCTGTGTTCGCTCTATGGTTACATACTCTTTAGGTCGCGTTGTGCTCTTCATCTCCAGTTTTGTTTTGTTTTTTGTTAACTGGTTCTAGCGTCTTCAACTGCCACCTGGTTTTTAGTGCTGTCTGGTACTAACGGCTTAATCGTCGACTCTAACTTCTCAATAGTGTTTCTACCTAATGTGTCTCTATTTCCCATAGATCTATGTATCTTGTCTATTGTCTCTGTAGTTCAATGTCTCCCACATGTCGCCTCTCTTTTGACTATCTTGAAGCTCCATGTGACTGGTTCCTCTGCTTCTAGGTCACGACGACTGAAGACTGAAGATTCTCGTCTTTGGGGGTACATATTACTAGTCCTCCTCGTAGACTGAAGGGTCCCCGAGTGTAAGTAAGTAAATTTTACCCAACCATAACATCACACAAGCGATAAACTATATTTATGGCGCTGCTATATATAGGGCACCCGGAACAAGCAAAGGTGGGGCATGAAAATAAAAAAATAAAAATTGAATCCCACGTGGGGACAACGTGTAATAAAAATGCTGGAATGCGTGGTATGTGTTTTCCTGCTCACTACTGCTGCTAGAATGTTCTAGTACGGCTTAACATGTTGACTATGTGCGTTCTCACGTGGGATTTTCCAACTGCATCAGGATTGCACCAGATAGCTCTGCTCTTAAATATACTCATTTGTTTGGCTACTGGCCTTCTGTCGATTTCTAGAAACGGTACTACTGCATTATCTTTGTTAGGGCACGTTTAAAAACATTACCTCAGATAATATTTACAGATTATTCATGTGCAAAATATTTGTCTGCACGTGATGGTTCGAGAATGGGAATATCACGGTTGCTAAGACATGTTGATTTCGGTCCATTTAACTAATATGCTATACCCTACCGCCTGAAAAACAATTGCTACATAATGTTGTTGGCAGATGGGCACATGTTCGCCCTATCGAAAACTGGTTATTAAGTTTCTCCCTTAGTGAACCACTGTGTTTATTACCTCAGAATTAAGCTACTTAGACTTTGCTACTACCTAAGCTGTTAGACTTTTTGTGGTTGTAAATGTGTAATAAAGATACATGGTTTTACATGCTTAAATGTACCTTTAAGTCGCAACGGACATGGACCACTTCTGCGTGAGACCTTAGGGGATAGGAACAAACAGCGGCTGAAACGATGTGGCTCTTGGGTGGTCATTGTACAAGCGGAAATCACTACAAGAAATGTTTGTGCTACTGATAAAATAGCACTGGGCAAGGAATGGATCACATTGTCGCCCAGTAAAACAGCCATGCACAGGTTATTGTTATTTTGGACCGAGGATGCCAGGAATAGATAGCTGGTGGAACAGAGTCAGCGGTGCAAGAGCTGTTAAAAAATGAAATATGGTACTATCCAGGGAAATCCCTACGTCACTACTTAATCTCGAAGCCGACGCGACGAGGTCGCCTACAATTAAAGTACCCAATTTAGTAGATAACAGAAGATCTATTTGAAACCATGGAACAGACTCGAGATCTCGGTGACAATTTCAATGTGATAGAAAGAGGGCAGGGGGCGGCAACAAGGTAAATAATGAATTGCTTGGTTACGCGTATATGATTGGGTAGAACAAGACCTCTGGCCTGGTTCGTGATTCCGTCGGTCGTGTAGGATGCGAATCCTACTATACGAGTCATACTTATCAGCTCGGCACATGGTGATGATGATATTTTCAAAGAAAGCTCCCAATAAGCAAAAATAGGACCACAAATATAGTTTGGGAACCACTGGTCTAATCTCTCCATCATTGCCTAAGTATTTGTTACGTTTCTTTTGTGCGTGTTTCATATTTTATATTCATGTTTCTTTCACTCATAAAAAGTAAACGCTTCCGGTACTCAAATCAACCAAGTGTTTTATTTACATGTTTCTTAGATACGGAAGAATTCAATTACAAAAATGGACAGTAAATTTTCCCATGCCGTCCTCAAGTTGCTGAAAACATTAAATAGCGTTACAATTGCTGGTATGTTTGTTGTATTTCAATATAACATGCCTCAATTGCATTTCAGTGCTATTTGTGCCCTCCATCGATGATCGAGGATCAGATTGCAGTAAAAAAAAGAGGCATATCTTTTCTATACAATGACCTTTATTTTGACCGATCTCAGTGGGTGATGTGGTCAACATCGCTCTAACCGCCTTTACTTCCCATTACTTTAAGTTTGCCTGGTTCACCATTTTAAGCGGAGTCCATCTGGGAGCCAAGGTCATTTTTATTGAGAAAAATCCAGCTAGATGCGAATTTGAACCCCACCACCTTCGGGACCGCGGGCAAGCGTCAGTTGCAGTCTGATGAGTCTGCAGGAGGATACTTATTTTTTAGCACCTCAAGAATGATAATTTTTTGATGTACACAAATCCCTGTAAGCCTCTTTCAGATGTAAGATTATATTATTAGAGTCCCGGCAGTTACGAAGTTAAGTAACCTGATGTCCAGACCACGCAGGGATGTAACAAATCCCACATTTTTTTTAAACTACCATTGTGGCCACTACTTTACCTTTTCCACCATTACTACTGAGCACTTAAGTATTACAGTAGTAATGTAAGTATTAATACTACTAACTGCTTACTTTACTACCATTAGTAATCTAGTATCATCATCATGTCGCAGGTCCTTTTGCAGAACGTCGCTCTCATCACAGTCTGCCTGAAAGAAACTCTGTCTCTCGCCAGTTCTCCCGCCCCATGTACTTTCATACTCAAGAAGTCACTTATATCCTGTGCCCATCTTCGTGTCGGTCGGCCTCTGCCCCTCCTTCCTGGTACCATGCCTTGCCTTCTGCTATAATTTTTTCCAGTCCATCGTGGCGCTTGATAAGACCAAATATTTCATTTGTCTAAATAATACAGAAAAATATTAAAACAAATGCAGGTGAAGTTAGGCTGCCGCCAAATATTTAATAATAATAATAATGACTACATCAAACATGCCCAGAACTGTACGCTAACAACACATCACCTAAAGTATGTTTATTTTAGTGTTGACATTATAAACAAATACAATGCTGATAATAGATAGACAAGTATATACAGAACTTTACATGAACAACACATCAACTAAAGTATGTTTTTTTCAAATGTTGATATTATAAATAATAACAAAGCTGATAACAGATAGACAAGCATATGCAGTAATTATTTATAAAAATAGGAAAATCCACAGAAATATTGTTATACAAAGATGAAAGCAGGTTTGAATAAGTGGAGAAAACTAGATCATGAGCTGAGACATTGGGGGGGGGGGGGGGGGTTGGAATGTGATTGTGTTTACGAGATGGGGTAGTCTCTTAACTCTTTCAGTCCTAAGCAGTTGCTTCTTTAACTTTTTCTGTTCCTTGGAGTTGGGCATAAGAGCAATGAATACTGAGGTCTCAAGGAGCTATAGAACAAAAGAAATGAAACTAATAATTCAGATACAAAGGGTGAATATAAAATCTTTGTGTGATAGAAGCGAAAATATTATAATAATTTTGGAGTTACCCGAAACATATGGTGCATTGTTTGATGCTGAAAGAGTTAAAGCTGATAAAGAAAAGACAATGAATGATTTTTACTCATATTTTTCACATATCTAAAGAAAACATTGTCATATCATCAAGATTTTGTTTATCAGTGTATTCAGCACAAAATGTTCCCACAGTGTGTCTGATAGTTAGTATGTATATTTTTCAAACAGTCTGGGATGGTTTAAACTGGCAGCTTTTCTCTGGCATGTTCTTTCACAAGTGTTTATCAAATCCTTAGAGATGTTGCATTGGTTTTGGTCACAGGCATGAAGGAAAGTTAGCTTTTGTGCTGCGCAAAAGGAAATACCCTCTACCTCATCTCGCCGCGACACCATTAGGCTCTGCTGATTTTACAATACCTCAAGCAGGACACATGCAACACGTCCACATCTAATGCCACTAATGACCAATATATGTCTCAACTGAGCTGGTAGGGGATCTTGGTGGCTCTTAGAGGTGCAGTGTCTGGAAGTGGGAAAACCTATGGCACTTATCTTTCCTCACCCTCTTTTCCTCCCTGATGAATGATGAAGAAGGAGCAATCTTCAGAATGTACAGGATCTAGTGTATCTTAAAATTACATGTTTTTAACTAGTTTTTAAAGGAACCATGAGGGACATTCTTGAAATTTTCATGGGCATATGTAGGTGGCAGTTATAGAGTGACTCTTTTGTAGTAAAAACCTTCTCATCTTGACCTTTATTCTGACCTTAACAAAGACATGGTCGCATTCTTTTATAGTCTATTAGTGATTGCACCTATATCTGTCTGTGTCCTCTGTAAATGCAATGAGTTTGCATTTGGTGATTATGAATATGTTTATAATAGCAAATATCCCATGTTGAATTGATTTTACTTGTTTTCTAGTTACAGATTTTTAGCCATTACTATCTTTTCTGTTGTTTTTTCTTTTCCAGAGGCATTAGAGAGAGGCTGTCAGCCTTTCTATGTGGATAATAGACAGTTTGGACTTATAAGGCCAGATTTCTTCAACCATTTGAGGGAGTATGAAAATATATTTGATGTGATTGGTGAAAATAAAGAAGACAAAATAAATGAAAAGAAACCTGGAGTTCATCTTTCGTCAGAGTATAAGACCTATAGCGAGCGTACATCAGCTATCAATAGCATGCTAAAAGATCTGAGGGAAAAAAATGTGATTCAGGCCTTAACAGGATGGCGAGATGAGGTTCTTAAGTACTATAATTTTAAAAGTGATAAAAATATCTTGTTTCTAGTGTTTTTTCTTTTTTTTTTTTCAAGTCTTAGGTCTTTCCCAAAACTTTGAATATCTGCTAGGATTTTAAGCATGTGAACTATTCTTATATTGAAATACCGGTATTGGAAGTGTGAGTGTAGTCACTGAAGCAAAGGTAAAGTAGGCCTTTCGTTGACTACTATCAAACATTAGCAAATAGGAAGAAAAATGTTATGCAAAATGCAGCATTAAAGTTATTGAGACAAGTCTGAAAATATTTTGGTACCTTGATAGCAGCAAGTGAGAGGTGATAGGATCGACTTCATTGCACCAGGTTTTACCCTATATTCCTCAGTCTCTCTTCGCAGAACAGCTAGCAGCCTGCTGAGAGTGTCTCATGGATCACGAACTCTGTCGCCAAGTTAATGATTTCCAGGGATCTCTATAAAAATTGCTCTCGTAAACTGAACGGTGCCACCGTGAAATGAGCCCACGACCTTCAGACGCGAGGCGAGCGGCTTGACCACTTCGCCGCGGAGTGGATGTTGTAATAAAAAAAAAGTCTATCTGAAAGCAATATTTCCCAGGATGAAGAGTATCCTAAGTATTGAATCTGTCTCAGCTGATGTGAGAAAGTTCTTAACTCTTTGGGTATCAAGGAATGCATCATGGGTTGATTTATAACTAATATCTTTGTTCTGTAGTACCAGAAGAGTTAAGAACTCTCTAGTGCCAAAAATAATGATGCATGGAAGTGAATCATCGACAGCCAGCAGGTGTGTGAGAAAGCCTAAAAAAGATGCCTTAAAAGAAATTAGTGAGAAATTAAGCTGTTTAACCACTTCAAAGAAAGCCAGCCTACATTGTCATGAAAAGGAGGAAAACATTATATTGTGATAACAAGAGAGTTGGAAGAAAACAGAGAAGTGAGAAGACAAAGAAAGAAAATGTTAGACAGTTTGGCAACATAGCACTGAAGAAGATCTATATTTAAAAAAAATGACAGTAAATGAATGGCATTTCTCATAATAGAGCAAAGTATTAAACTGAACTCACCGCCTCATATTAGATTTGTGGATTATGGGATAACCATTGCAAGAAATAGTAGGGAATCTCTTTAGATTTTGTGTTCAGAATCTTCCTCAGGTATTTGTTTTTGGATGCATTTAATTTTCATTCCATGTATATTTCTTCTTCTGTAGTCCAGTTCTGCCTTTCAGCATCATGTTTTGAAGAGACAGTGTGTGAAAGCCTTGGTCTGTGCTGCGTAGTTGCTGGTATTTACTGCCTCGGACTAAAAAACCATCACCTTACAGAGGTTGAAAGCAGGTCTCCAACATTAGAGCCTGGCATACATCAGCCAGCTCCTCTTGTGGGTTCCAGGGTTCCATTTTGAGAACAAAGAATAGACTCACTGTTCCCCCACCCCCAGTGCATACAAATAAGCCAGATCAGTAAAATGGATGTGCATGCAAAAACCCACACTCTGGATCAAGACAAGAAGTGGGCATACAACCAGAGCTTTCCTCCAGGGTTTGCAGTTGGTGAATGCTAAAAAGGAGAAGAAATCAGCCAGTGATTGATATTGTCACAGAGGGCTAACAAAGAGGCTTTGGAGTGTTAGATACTGTCAAGGAACAGTTCAGTAACATTCCATTTTTTAACCACCTTCTTCTTTCACCTGTAGAATTACAGAATGAGCCAGAGATTCACAGATGATCCTGTTTTAGAAATAGAAAGAGCTGGTGCAGGTAAGAAGCTTCAAGCCACAAGATAAATGTGTCACAGTGTAACACACTTCATCAAGTATGTCATTTTCTTTGTGTTTTTTTTCTCAAGAAAAGTGAAATAAGAAGTTTTGTAGACAACCAAAAAAATAACTGATAGGTTGTATTTTCTTTTGTTGCATTTTAATTTGTATTTTAATTTTTTTAATAATTTATTAAAATGATTAGAGGTGGGTAACTGGTGTAGCCGAAACCTGAAAAAAGATGGACAAATCCATCACTCAAGCCACCAGAGAAGCGCAAGACCAATTCAGAAAACCATGACACTGGACTACAACCTGGTCAGTAAAATGACAAAGGAAGAAGAAGAAGTAAAATTACTTAAAATGCTGGCGTATATATTAGGGCTGTACCGAATATTTGCTTCGTATTCGCTTCGGGGCCGAATAGTGGACCTAATAACTATTCGGTATTCTGCCGAATAGTTGCGGTTGGGCCGAATACGAATAGTGGTTACCTTTCATCTGTTTCTGGACTGGTGGCAAATAAATATATCAAGATTTCCCACCTTGGTTCATTAAGAGTTATCTTTGTGCACCACCTACGAGCGTACCAAGTGAACGTCTGTTTAGTACAGCTGGAAATATCTTCAGTGAGACAAGAAGCTGCCTTAATGCTGACAACATGGAACGATTTTTGTGTGTGTGGAAAGCTAATGCCGCTTTCATGGATTAATTAAGCTGTCAGTGACAATTTACAAGTTTAGTTACTTGTTATAAAACTAAGAATACTTTCATCTCTAGATGTTAGTTACCACAGACTGACTGACTGAAGGATGCAAAACATAAAATGTTTTTAAATGTTTACTATTTTGTAGAACATTTTGCTAAATAAAATTTCAGCGTATATTTGACATTATAGATTTTTTTTTTTTAGATCTATTTTATACACGAAAGTGGAAGAATGGGCCTCGGTTTGAATAGTGGGAAGACAGAAATAATGGTGGTATCAAAGAAAATAAGTATTCCTAAATGTGTAATGAAAGTCAATGGTTTTATTTTGGGACAAGTTCAGAAATTTAAGTATCTGGGCACATGGATAACATCAGATGGAAGATGCATTACTGAAATAAGAAACAGAATAAGACAGGCAAAAACTGCATTTTATAAAATGAAGAACATTTTATGCAATATATCTTTGTCATTGAAGGTTAGAAAAAGAATTTGTGCTTGCAACATACATCCAGTTTTAACATATGGCTGTAAGTCCTGGACAACCTGTAGGCAGGCCAAACAATTTCTTGAGGCCTCAGAGATGTGGTTTTACAGAACAATGCTTAAAATACCTTAGACAGCCAAAAAAAAAAAAAAAGGCAACCAAGAGGTTTTGAAAGAGGCAGGAGCCCGAAGACAACTTATCACAGACATCAGAAGGAGAGTCATCATTTTTCGGCCATGTTATAGGATGAGGGAAAATAGAACATGTTGTGACCACTGGAAAGATCTGTGGAAGGAGGGATAGAGGAAGACAACGAGAGAAGATTCTTGACAGTCTTGTTGCATGGCATGGAGGTGTGTTGGCACACAAACTAATACATGCTGCAGGAGATCGCAGATTGTGGCGAGGCATAATCGCCAATACCAGTCGGCAGAGCACCTGATGATGATGATGATTCACTATTCATATTCGGCTGAATAGTTGGTCCAGCTATTCGTATTCAGCCGAATAGTGAATATCACTATTCGGTACAGCCCTAGTATATATACATAGAGAATACTGTGGTACCATGCATTGTTTTTCTTTCAAAATATCTTGAAAATCAGAGAGGTTGCAGTTATTTTAGATGACCCTTTGTTATTATGCAGGTAATATCAGTGCTTTTATCTGCAGGATTGTTTGGTTTTCTACAGTATGGGGTTCATGTCAATGGCTATACAAGGGAGCAGAATGGTGACATTTGGATGTGGATTGCCAGAAGATCTAAGACTAAGCAGACTTTCCCAGATATGTATGATAATATGGTGAGTATTGACCCTAATTTACCTACACTTTATTATTGTTATGTTTCAGTGTGGAGTGTATGTATATATATATATATATATATATATATATATATATATATATATATATATATATATATATATATATATATATATATATATATATGTGTGTGTGTGTGTATATAGATATGACTGTTTATATATATATATATGTGTGCATGTATGTATGTATATGTACATTTATATACACACATACGTATGTGTATACATATATATATATGTGTGTGTGTGTGTGTGGGTATCTATGAATATATTTATATATAAACATATATGTGTACGTATATATATTGAGGTTCATTGCTGCAGATAAAACCTGCCTCCATTCATCTCTCTGACTGGTCTTCTCTTTCCACTAATGTCCATAGCCACATAAGACAGCCGATTACACAGATCAGTAGTTGCACACTCGCATAAGGCACCATAAGTTTGCTGGCAACAGATCACTAACCATTTTGTGAATCAGCAGTTGAAACACCAACCACATTGAGCACAGTCGAAACACATTACAAATGAAACCTGCAGTTCCCAGTTTTGTGCTGTTCACTCAGCCCAGTAGCTAGGCATTGTAACTGTATCCTTTCTCAATATATAGAGGAAATGCAACAGCTAAATATTTTTCTGTCTTCTTCTTCTTTCGTTCGCCTGAAATAAGTTGTCTATGTCAGAAACGTTGTCTCTGGTATAAATTTCACTGTTGTTAGTTCATTCAGTAGTCTATAGAGTTTACGTTCCACTGTTGTTCTTTCTGGCCAAAAGGTTTGCCTTAATGTATCGAATTCGATGCAGTCCTGGAGTACATGCTCTGGTGTCTGGGGCACCTTTCCACAGGTGCACATGGCTGATATGCATATCTTGAATTTTGTGTACATGCGATTACGTAATCGGTTGTGCCCTGTTCTGAGGCAGAGGATAATGACTTGTTCTGATCTGTCCAAAATAAAATAGTCGTCTTGTGCTGGGGCTGGTGGTTTCCTGATTGATTTAATGATCCTTTTCTTTTGGTTGTATGTGACTGGTACATCCGGCTGCACTTTTGTCGCACCTTTCCCTGCCAGTTGATCTGCTTTCTCATTTCCAGGCACTCCACAGTGGAATAGTATCCATTGCATTATGACTGTTTGCTAATAGCTGACTTGTGTCAGCAGTGATTGCTGTTCTGGTAGTTTCCTAGACTGGAGTGCTTCAAGTACGGGTTTTGCCTCTGTCAGCATTACCACATACTGTGAGCCAGGAGTAGAAGTAAAAGTGTTAGAAGTAAAACTTGCCTTGACTAAAAGCACTGTCCACCATATTGACCAGGATCAAAGAGCTAAAGATTGATAGCTGACTGCTTTGCAATGATTCCATAAATGGTATGAAAGTCATACAATACAGAGACCAAAGGTAAACTACTGACGGTAAAATTGCTTGGTAAAACCTGGGGTTGATTTGCAATGTCTCATAAAAAGACATGCAAACTTCATTTATGTGGATTAAAATAAATTTCGAATTTAAATACAAGGATACATTAATAGCAGTCACAAATCAGGCAGATAAGTGATGTGTTTTTCAAACTACTAGTCTTCAGACTAAATAATATTCAATGATACAATAACTGATTTGTCTTTCAGTGTGCTGGAGGTTTGGCAGCAAATCTTGGTATATTAGAGTGTGTAAAAAAAGAATGTAAAGAGGAGGCAAGTGTTTCTGATGAAATACTTGGTAAACTGAAGTTTGTAGGAACTATAAGGTGAGTGCTTTTGCATGTAATTTAAATGGTTACCTTAAACTGATCGTGCAAGCTTGTCAGATTTTTCTTCTGTCTTCAGCCTCAAAACAGTAGTTGTGGTTTTTAGCTAGACTGCAATATTTAACCCTTTTGGCCAAACAAATCTGATTTCAACAAACCCTTAATTTGTCACTGTTTGTAGTATGTTTGTTAGAGGAGGCAGTGGGGTCCTCTTCCCCCCCCCACCCCCCCAAATTAGGCCCTGAAATCCACACAGGGATCTTGTTGGATTGATCATGATATTTCATTCAAATGTTTATTTTAGTGGCATAACGTTTAATGAAATACAATTCTTCAGAGTTTTAGATATTTTATGGATTTCATACATGACGTCTCCAAATGCAGATTGACTGGTGCTAGTATCTCATAGAAGCAGTTGTCTTGCATGTATAGTGGGCATAGCTAAAAGTAATTCCAGTAATAAAAATTATTAAAAAACAAACTAGCAAGTGAATTTTAAAACCTGAAGTCAGTTTTTACTTCACTTGAAAAAAATTTACTGTGACATGAACATAAAATATTCAGAGTGAGGGACTGACATGATTAACACTGCTTCTGACATAGGCTGATGTTGGTAAAGTTTAGACTGGCACTGTCCAGGCCTGCATGTGAGTAACCGATGAAAGACATTGGCTGCATGGCAACATTGATGATTTCTGAGAAAGCCATTTAAAGGAAAAAACTTGTATGGTAGAATTGAAGGTGTAATAACTAGGGCTGTACCGAATATTCGCTTCGTATTCGCTTCGGGGCCGAATAGTGGACCTAATAACTATTTGGTATTCGGCCGAATAGTTGCGGTCAGGCCGAATACGAATAGTGGTTACCTTACTCCCGTTTCTGCATACACTGTGATGGACTGAAATAAATTTTTCATTACCACAATAGTTGCTGTTGCCTAAGTCTGTCGTAGCGGGGGAAACTGCGACCCGGTTGCGTTTTACAAACTGCATGTGTGTGAGTGTGTGTCTGTGTGAGAGAGAGGGGGGGAGAGAGAGAGGCAGAAAGAGAGAGATCATGCATCTTTCGTTCTTTCAGGGTGTCTTCGCCCAAATCAAATCTGAAGATATTGCTAACTAGAATATAAAGGTGTGTTTAAATTACATCGAACGAACGTCCCGAAGACAACTAATCACAGACATCAGAAGGAGACAGTCGTCATTTTTCAGCCATGTTATGAGAAGAGGGAAAATGGAAAATTTGGTGACCACTAGAAAGATCTGTGGATAGAGGGATAGAGGAAGACAACAATAGAAGATTCTTGAAAGTCTTGTTGCATGGCATGGAGGTGTGTCAGCACACGAACTAATACATGCTGCAGGAGATAGCAGATTGTGGAGAGGCATGATTGCCCACGCCAGTCGGCAAGGCACCTGATGATGATGATACACTATTCTTATTCGTATTCGGCCAAATAGTTGGTCCCACTATTCGTATTCGGCCGAATAGTGAAAATCACTATTCGGTACAGCCCAAGTAACAACTGATAGATGAAAACCTATTGTAAATGACGTGATAGTTTGCACCAGTCTTTGGTTCTGTGCATCAAGGTGAAAAATAAGAATGAATTTTGTCAGCTAGAGTGAAAGAATGGTTATGGTAAAACAAAATGGTACTTTTTATTTTGCAACTCCAAGCATGAGAATGAATGTGGGGGGCAATCACTGCAGCTCTGAAGTAGATAACTGAAACTAGATTTAGCAGAGGAATCATGATGTCTGATTCTTAGCTGGTATAGTGGACGGTTCAAAATGGACATATTTGCATGAGTGGATAACAAGCAGTAGTATGGCAGCTTTATAGAAACTCACATTGATTGTATCCAGAATATGCAGGAGCTGGAGGTAATGACAGATCAGATTTGTTTTTATCTACGTAAGTGATTGTAGTAGAAACATTCATACTTGAAAGGGCACATTCTGAAAACCATTTATGAGTGAAGCTGATAATAGATACTGTGTTAGATAGAATAACATGGGCACGGTTGAGCGACTTTGGAATTAAGTGTGAATCCAGTAAGAAAGGATATATGAGAGGAAGAGGATGATACAAGTATAACGTTTGCGATGGTGCTGATTCTTAAATAAATAACCATTATTGAATTTAAAATAGTTTTCTGTATCTTTCATTGGCTGTTTAATGTTATTTAAATTTTTTTTAATGTCCTAAAAAATGACATATATTATTATAAACATCTTATTGCTTATATTGGCTATTTCAGTTATTTTTATGAGGATGAGAGAGGCCTTTTCCCTGAATGCCAGTTTGTTTTTGATCTTGTTCTGCCAGCTGATTTTAAACCCCTCAATGCAGATGGAGAAGTTGGCAGTTTTCAGAAGTGTTCAGTTGCTGAAGTAATGTTTATTTTATTTATTTATTTAATTTTTAATTTTCAAAAAAAATTATATTTAACAAAGATGACTGACAGGATGCTATTTTGAATTCTTTGAGGTACTAGCTCAGTCACACACACACACACAAAAAAGATTGAAAATGCCATTATATTTGTTGACATCACCCACCAAGTGCTGATTGGTCTATAAAAATACAGGTCTAGCCCTATATTCTCAATACACCGAAAGGCATGCAAAAGGGACCTTTATTTTTGTTTACTTTTCAAGTCATGAGTCATTGTGGAAATTGAACCTATACAGTCTTAAAGCTAACTACGCTGTTGCAAGTTGTTGAAGTTAGTTATACATTGAAACTTACCAGGTAAAAACAAAGAAATGCCTTCAGCAAATCCTAAATGTAACTAGAAGGGATAGGATCAGAAATGACGATAACAGGAAAGAAGTTGCAACGGAACCAGTATTAAACTACATCAAGAGACAACAGATCAAATAGTTTAGACGTGTGTCAAGACTAGCACCAGACAGTGCACCACAGAGAGCCTTGATTCTTAGACATAATGGAAGCAGAGACAGAGGTCGACCATGCAAGTGATGAAATATCTCAGACCTTAAATACCAGCATATACATAGTACATTTTCATTGCCTTTTCAAAACCTGACACTGACAGGCTATACAGAATTAGAGAAGAAGATTGTCAGTACTGAACATCTGCTTCAGACGTGCTCTCTACATGCCGAAGAGAGGCCTCAGATTTGGCCATTTAGCATTCTGGCGGAAACCAAGTTGTGTGGATCAAGGGAGGACATCGTAAAACGCTGTGGCATTCTTATCTCAAAACTGCTGGCTGGGAGAATGGAACAAAAAATAGAAACTGTGTTCTGGGTACCACAAATCGTGATATAAAATTGTACATTAATTTTGTAAAGAGAATTATTTCATCTGTTATTTCCAATAAACTATATGATGAATTTATCTTTATGGTTTGGTGTTGTAATTTTTGTATGCTTTTGAACTTTTTTTTTTTGTAACTATATAAAAAAAAATGTTTTGTTTGCATATTTGTTTTTTCAACTCATCGTGAGAAAGTAATTACATATTAAGTAAACTTTTTTTTTTCATAATATTATTTCTAGGTAAAGAAACTTATGACTGAGGAAAACTTCAAGCCAAACTGTGCTGCTGTCTGTTTAGATTTTCTTATACGCCATGGTCACCTAAACCCAGATACAGGTAATTACTAAAGAGAAATGTATTTTCCTGTATTTTTACATTATTAACTACATTTCTTTTTACCTCTAAGTACTATTAATTTTGTTGACATTTTCTTATGACTCGTGATTATATGATGTGGTGGGCTTGTTCTGATTCTGAAGGGTGTTTAAAAAAAATGTAAACACTAGATAGGAATTTCTAAATACTTTTTTGGTTTCACTGGGAACCACCCTGGTGTACTGGCTAGACTCTTGCCTGCAGATCCAAAAGTCACAGGTTGAAATACTCTTAGAGCTGGATTATTTTCATGGGTACATGATCTATAAAAAAGTGAGTCTAGCCTCATATGCCCAATGCACCACTAGCATGTTAAAGACCTTTTTTTTTTGGTTAACCTTTTTTCTTTCCTCCCTGGTAACACAAGTACATTTTTTTATTTGTATTTGTTGTACATCTGTTAGTAATGTCAGTAGAAAAAAAGCAGAACTTGAATGTAGAAGATTGCAAAGGTTCTTTGCACGAACATCAGAATTTAAATATCTTGGAATAACAAGCCACCGAAGATGGCAAATTGATTACAGAAATTAGCATGTGAGACAGTAAGGAAAACCAAGCTAGCTTATAGTGTTTATTTATTTAAAACACACCTCCTATTGTTTAAAGTAAGTAATTTGTTGGGGGGAGGGGGAGCAGATAAATTGCAGTTAACAATATAATTTATAATAATTTTTTGCTTTATCCACAGACCCTAACGTTAGTTTCTATATAGAACAACTGCATTCACCTCTTCAAACTTATTACACAAGGTAGACAACTGTGCCCAACAGACTTTCTCCAAGCAGTGGACTCTTGTTTTATTATGGAACAGCTTCAAAATTGAATATATATATCAGATTTTAAACACTCTAGCTCTGAATATTGTTAAGCATTTGTGTATGTATTTCCCTGTTTTGAAAAGAAAAATCACTTACAAATAGTCATTGTTGGTATGTTACCTTCCTGTCAATATTGTGGATAGACAGGTTTACTGTTTTTGGTCATGGCAAGTTTTTGCTTATGACATTTGTTAGCCTCTGCATGTTCTTCATATGTAGACTGAAAGGATATAATTCTTTTGCCTGGCTGCTGAATTGAGAGCATGGCACGACACTGTGATCTGCAAATTTAATTTGGAATGCTTTTCGACAGTGCCCAATGTGGTTTATGTTATGAAATGCAGATTTAGGCCTATTGCCAGAGATAACTGTTGGTGAGTTATATGATTAATTGTCTGTGCATCTACTGATTTGTTGTAACTGCTGCTTCCATCAGTGATAAACTGCAATTCTGGTGTTAGATAGTTTGTGTTGGTACTTTTTGCAGCTGCTTTATGCATGTAATGCGTGTCAGTTTTTTTCACAAGGGATGGTGATGGACACTTGATGTGGTTTTCGTTGGCACAGGAACCGAGCAACTATGGGATAACCCCTTTGCTATGAAGTTGGAACTAAAATTATAATATCTCAAGTTTACTCTCCCCATGGAATTCTGCCCCACTACAAACAGGTGAGTTGCATATCCTTTACAGGACATTGCAGAACCAACCCCAACGGCCCCTGGCTGTTGTGTGGTTTTTCTAGGCAAATTTACGTCCAGTAGTTTGCCATTGCTTTCTTGATACCACTGTCGAAACCAATGCAAGGCGCATGGCTCACAGCTGGGATCGAACCCGGCATCTCAACATTACGAAGCGTTCGCATCGACTTAGCCACAGAGCCGACAGTGCAAACAGAGTCTTTGGTAATGTAATGGTTTAATTTTATAGCCAAAATTATACTACCGGGTCATTCAGAATGTGAAATTGAGAAAAGGCAAGATATAATCAAACTGCTGCTTTTACCATTAATATTGGAACTGTACATTAGCTGCTGAAGGTGGGGACAGATCACTTAACTCTTTGAGTCCAATAGGGTTTGGCATCAGAGGCCCAAGGGGTTGTAATGAAAAATTTTTATTTCACAAGTGTAACACATTAAAACAGACAATACTAATTCAATTGCAGCGCAACATTCACATATTATACATCAAAGTGACCAATGATTGTTGAAGAATAATTATAGAATATAGCTACAACAAATAATGGCACTCAAGGAAAACTGGTTAAAATATATCCAAAATGAATCACAAATAAATGTGAACCACTTAGTAATGAATAAGTAAAATATAAACTCAATCTATACATAAGATTTTGTTCCAAAGAATCTTTTGAAGCATCATAACAGAGCACCATTATTTGGTAAAGAAAAACTGACTCCCCAAACAATTAGCATCTTCACACAAAACGAAGTTTATATAACACTCAATTTGCCTGTAATTTTGTAGCTATGTTTCTTAATTATAAGGGGAATAGCACTAGAACTAACTGACACTGAAGGAAATCGTCTTTTCACTAATGTTTATTATATTTCTGCAACGTTATCTATCTAACTTCGGATAAATTGAATAAACACCGACTTCATTAAAATTTGAGGCTTCTAAAGCGGTAAATCATGTTGGCATGCATGTAGAATATTGCTAGGCGCCCATATTCTTTTCAAACACTAATTAACTTGACAAATATATTTTCGGCTTTCAAACCACATTTCTAAATGAGAACGCCTGAAATCAGACACAAAGTACTCAAAAGGAAGTTGAAATTGAGCGGTCCGCGTTTTACAACCAGGCAGTGGTAGATGAAAAACCTTCATTGTTACTCGTCGATTGGGTCGCGTGGTTGAAACAAATTAGCACGGGATGCATTTCCTGGGACTCAAAGAGTAAAGGAATGTTCTGAGTTTGTGATGTCAGTTCTAAATTTACCAGGATGGAACAACTAGGTTTATCAGGCGCTTTACAATTGAATTTTCTCTTTAGCAGTAATGTTTCTTACCACACATTTCTTTTCACTTCGTCTGAGTAACTGGGAAATTCATCTGTGCTATATTCTGAACTATATACTCTTGAATCATATTAACATCGAAAGGCCTATCATTTAATTTCTGTTAATGTTGTTATGTTAATGGTGATGTTTTTATCTGTAACTCCTGTATTGTTTAATAATTGTTGATCTGGCCAGATCTATAAGTGCTATACACCTTTGATAGTTCTTTATCCCAGACTGAATAATTTTTTAGTTGTCTTATGTAGCATTTTTATACTTCTAAGTTGTTAATGTTCAGTCTTTCAATTTTTTTATATTCTCTCACTTACTAACTTTGCTTATTTTTATCTGAAATTGTGCAAGAGGCCAAATTATGGCTGTGCATTGTTGGTTTTGGTGCCTAAAGCAGTGACCAACATGAACAAAACTTTTTAACATCATAAGTAAAAGTTCTTAGATAGAAGTGCCCTAAAAACAAAGCACCTGGTTTAGATGGAAAAAAAAACTACAGAAGCTATTCAAGCATATATAGCCTTAGTTGCATTGTAAAATGTGTATGAGATTTTTTACAACTGAACATCTGGGTGGAAGGTGAGGGGAAGGCCAAGAAAAAGGTGGATAAATAGTTTAGCTGAAAGGTGAACAAACCTATTACCCAAGCCACACAAGAAGTGCAAGATAAATATAGAAAACCATGACACCGGGCTACAACCTGGTATTAATGAGACAGCAAAAGAAAAAACAGGATTTGCATTGTAACCTTGTGAAAACATCAGAAGCATATTGATTTAAAATGTAACTATTTTGATTTCTTGTGACCTGTTGATTGGGACCAAATTTGACAATGATAATAAAGTATTGGGGACAAATTACTGAACATTATTGTTTGTTTAACTTTCTTAATAATGTTTTGATGTTAAAGTAACTATGGCAGCTGATAAGTCCCTATGTAAGCCTCTGTGCATCTTGTCTCCATCTCTCTGTCAAATGTGTAGTCTTCTGTGAAAATGTTGCCTATATATTTTATTTCAACTACAAGACTAATTTTACTTGTATGTGTTTCTCTTTTTTTTAAGGCGGGTCCTAGTGATGGCTTGCTAATTTTCATTTGTATTGTGCATTTTAAACTCCAGGTTGTAATTTTTGCCTGTTTTCGAAAGTAAACTGATGTGGCTTTGCCGTAGTTTGGCTACTTTTAAGTATATGTATGTGAATTGTGTATAAATTTTCAGTCATCTTTTGCCTAAATCTGGGTATGAAACTGTGCTGTTTGTGTATGTATATTATCTGGTAATTGGTAATCTTATCTAGTAATCTTAGTATCAGCTTTATAGCAAACGGGTCACCCCATAGTTGTTCGGCTCCTGTGTCAATGAAAAAACACACAGAATGTTTATCAAAATCCCTTGTGGAAATATTGACAGACTGCTGTCTCAGCAAATGCACTAGCATACATGTATATGATCTGTCATATCGTATGTATTCTATGTGATGTAGTAATGTAAAATTTCCAGTGCTGCTGTCGTTTGGGTGCTTGTATGTTTGTTTTTGTATTTTATCTGTATTGGTGTTTATTAATATCTTTTCATCATAGAAGTTCCAAAGTTTCATGTTGGTGACAAACTTTTTTAAGACAAACATAATTTTGCAACACAGTAATTTAGTCTACTAGCAAGCCACAGGTCAACTAGCCCCTTATAAGAGATCCAGACATATTTATGATTTATGCTTTTATGTTTGCCTGAGACATCTTCACACTGCAGCTGTCACACTAATGTGTTGCAACACACAGTTTGGAAAGCTCTTTTATGGTGTCCTTTGTATAGTATAGTGTGTTGCTAGTTTGTATATTCTTGTCAAGTCTTGCTGCTGTCTTGTGTGCCTCTTTTAGTAAGTTGTTTCTAAACTGTTAGGGTGTCTGATTGTGTCTATGAAGTTATGCTTTTCTATGATAGTTTGTAATGTATCGAGTTTTTGCGTGTCCTCTATGCCCATTTTTGTCAATTGTGTATTGTCCTGTCCACGAATAACATCATCATTTGTCAGTACTGTTGAAATTCTACACTAATCATATCTTCTCTTCTTCTTCTGTGTGCTCACCAGCTGAAACTCCAGGGGAAAACTTCTGGTTGTTTGACATTAGTCTTCTTCCACAACTTGAGTTCTGCATGCAAATCTGTTTTACAGATCTGGCATATGTGTATGCAGACTGTTGATTCCTAGCCTCCCAGGCAGATGAACTCCAACTTCAGAAGAAACATTTCTAATTATCCACTTGTATGACATGCTTATTGGAAGGGCAGTGTGTCTATTCCTTTTTTTTAACAATAAGACCCCGGAACACACTTAGATTCTAGACATGTCCGTTTTTCAATGTTATGCACAGCTGAGACTGAAGACAAAGATATTTGCTTGTTATATGCCAGCTGAGACTGAAGATAAAGATATTTTCCTCAAGATAAAGATATTTTCTGTCCAATTGCCTCATAAAGTTGATAACATTCAAAACATTACCTGTTGATACTAATGGGAGACTTCAGTGCAAACATGAGTAGTGAAAAAATGGGTGTTGAGAGAGCTATGGGAAAGGATGAATATAACATAGTGAATGAAAACTGAGAAAGACTACTTGATTTGCATGTACAGTCAGATCTCATCTTTAGAAGTGCAGTCTTTGCAAATAAGGAGATTCACAAACTAACTTGAAATAGTATTCACCATACATAATTTACAAACTAATTTGAAACAGTATTTATCATACAGAATTCACAAACTAACTCGAAAATCTTCACCATACAGAATTCACAAACAAACTTGATCCAGTATTCACCATACATAATTCACTAACTTGAAACGGTTTTCACCATAACGAATTCACAAACTAACTTGATACAGTATTCATCATACAGAA